GCTCGCCGGGCAGCTGGTGGAGTTGAAGCTGGAGTCGTTGGCCTGTAGGCCGTCTTGTCCCATTTAAAGTCTGTCGACTGCAGATTTCCCAGTTGTCCTGTAAATTTATCACATTAAAAAGTGTGAATTTCGTCGACAGCGGGGGGGGGGGGGGGCGCGGGGGTGGGTAGGCTCTGTAGGCTAAAGGTCTGTATCCTGTATCCCGCATCCCGCATGCTGTATCCTGTGTATTCTGTTTGCTTTTGTAATTCCTTCACGGCAATCGTTTCGCACTGTCATTATGTAAATGAAATTGTGGCGAATTATTATTTGCATACCCTGCCAAAAGGTGCCAACTATTTCTGATGTCGTGTGTGACACCCAAAAGGCAGACACTGTCTGTATACATATATATCTATATTTATATGGGATAAACATTTTGATAAAGCCATGTCCTTAAAAATACCTGGCAAGTTGTCGTCCTTTTCTTTGCAGTGCTCACATTTTGGAAGAGTTCTCTCTTCGAGATATGCTCATACAGCAGGCTATCGATATATATCGATATATATATCACGTAAACGGGGCAAGCTATCGATGGCCAGCATCTTCATCTTCAAAGATCTGAGATCGTTGCGTGAAATCTTCTTTAGGTCTCTTTTAGCCTAGTTGCACTGTCAACATATCTGAAATTTTTTGCGAATGTAACATTTCTGCACGTTTTCCCATAAGAAACAACATTTTTTACATTTGCGAATAATTTTGGTATTCGCCCAGAGTAATTCGTGTTTTTTGCGATGATTTCTCGAATTGCGTATCGATGTTATGAATTTTAAAGTTTACTTATCGCACAGTTTTTAACATTTCTAGATGGCCAAATCCCGCAAAGAGTCCATTGAATGGAGCCCCTACTTCGAGACCGTATTATTTGACTTTTGCCATTCACATGTTACCGACAACTCAGACTTGCCAATGGGATCGCAAAATGTGAAGTTTGTAAATGTTACATATTTTGAGCATAGTGATATCAGACTTTTTGGTACAAGCTTATAAGAAATCCGCAAGGGTATTTGTGCTTCGGTGCTGCGAAGTTTTCCTTTTGTTATTGTTAGCATTTTGTTTGTGTGCTTATTCTTTGTTTTTTTATTTTTGTTTTTCCATTTGTTATTTGCGTAATTTATTTATTTATTTTCTCCGCGCAAGTACCACGCCTCTCCTCTCCTCCCCCTCCAGCTTCCTCTCCCCTCCTCTCCCCTCCTCTCCTATCCTCTGTTGTGTTTCTCCGCATTTGAGCGCATAATTCATAATTCGTGCCTTGGTCCGGTGTCCTTTGTGCCCAGGCAATAAAAGTTTGTCGCTAGTTAACAAATCATTGGACAAGTGAATTGTGGCCAGGGGCAGAGGTGGACAGTGTCGGGTGCGGGGCGAAGGGCTGATTATGATTCAGTTTGAATTGATTTGTGTGCCTGAACGAGTACCTTTCGATTTTATCGATGCGCGAACATATATTCATAAGTTATTCATATGCTTGTAACAGTAAAAATGTGAGCATAGAGAAGAGCTGTGAAAGAACGATTCATTTATGAATCAATTGGCGAGTCATTCAGTAATCGAATTGAATATATTTACTCCATCAACAAATAAATCAAACTAAATTGTAGAAACCCATTAATTCACTTTATTTTTACTTTGACTCATTGAAACTGGCCTAAAGTGAAAGTTATCGATAAATCTCTATCGATATTGCATGCATATTTGGCAGCAATTTTTTGTAGTTTCTCTTAAATGACGAATGATTCATTTAAAAAATTGAGCTGGCCTGTTTTAAATGTATTCATACAATCATAAAATGAATCGAATTCAACTTTGCATTGCAAAAATGTACATATATTTTTGAAGAATTTTCACTTTAGTTCAACAAAACTAAATAAAAGTAAAAGTTTTCGATTAATATTTATCGCATTTGCAAGCAAAAAGTTGGCACTACGAAAGCTTTTGTATTTATTTTACTTTTTCTATTTTTTTTAATGGAAAAAGCTTGAGCCGAATTGAAAGAAAATGCAAAGCAAAAACTTACATATATTTGTAAAGACTTTTCACTTTTGTTCAACAAAACTCAATAAAAGTAAAAGTTATCGATTAATATTTATCGCATTTGCAAGCAAAAAAAAAGCACCACGTTTCTAACTGTATTTATTTTATTTATTCTATTTTTTTTTTTGTCGCATGGATGAAGCTTGAGCTGAATTGAAAGAAAATGGAAAAGGCATAAAATAATAAATTGCGGATTTAATTTAATTTCGAGTGCGAGCAACAAAAGCAACGGAGGGCAACGGAAGGCAACTGAAGGAACAGAACAAAAGCAAAGCGCAGCATAATAAACGGCTTTTGATGAGCAGCGAAACACTTAAGAAGGAAGAAGAAGCAGCAGCAGCAAGACGACACAACAAACCGCAACAAGCACAAGAACAACAACAACAGCAACAACAACAACTAGCGAAAGTCGGGGATTTGGCTTGACCCCTCCCCGCATCCCCCCCTACCGCAAACATCACTCATTGCAGGGTGTACAACGGGGCGTATGCGGCACGTGATTGATGTCCGTTAGCTTATTAGCAGAAGGAACGGAGAGTGGGGGCAACTGCTTGCCCCTCCACCCCCTCTTGTTGCTGTTTCTGCAATCAGCGACTCACATTTGTATGGCGTGAGCGTGTGTGCAAGAGAGAGAGAGAGAGAGAGAGAGACAGCTAGAGCCGAGTCCAGGGTCCAGTAAATAGTCGCATTGAGGTTAGGACATGCTCTGAATGCTGGACGCTTTTCTAATGAGTTTAAAGGGTATTCGAAAGTTGATGATGCACAGCACAGCCCCAAAAATAGCTTGAAAAGTAAACAAATTTTGCATATAGAACGGAAAGGAAGAACAAAGAAGACATATGCCACACACGATTCTGCAGAATTACGTGAAGAATCAGGCTACGACCGACTCTTTTTATAGGGACTATGATATACTAGTCCGAAATAGGGTATAGCTCGTAAGTGCCTAATTTGGCTAAGAAATTTTGGTAAACAAAAAGATTTGCACACAAGAACTTAATCCTTGACATGATAGCTATGCGATATAAAGGCCCGATCCGGCTGCGTTCGACATATAGTACATATGCCCGATAGGGAGAGAGGAGTCTAGACAAAGTATAACGATATCCCTAGAGAACTGAGAGGCCTACAGACAGCCGGATTGATAGATTAGACAATAAGTGTATATATAAACCGTGCGTTACACATTGTACAGGGTATCTCTAAGTCAGACCTAGACTAGATTATAGCTCGCTCTTCTTTTTCCTTATACTTTGTTTGGCTTGTGGACAATTGAAAGAAGACATCAAGGACACTTGGGCACGGAGGAGTCAAGGATTCCTAGCCAACCTGTCTGTGTACGAATGGAATGAATCATAAACATTTCCAGTCCCAAACAAAAACAGACGGAAAAAAAAAGAGGAAAACAGAAAAGAAAACAACGAAATACTCGTAAGGACGAAAATTAACAGCGCGTCAAATCAAGGCGGGGATTTTATACAATTTTTATGCGCCTTTTATGATGGATTTTTATTGCTGGCGCTTATGCTGATGTTATTCTTGGACGGAACCCAATCCCCAATTCCCAATCCCCGCGTCTCTGCCAGTTTCCCATTACAACATGAAATTGTTGTTTGCATGCCGCGCGCCATAAAAACACAACAGCTAGTAACAAATTTGGGATTAATACTGAAATTTCCCAAACCTCCTCCCCCCCCACCATATTCCCGCTAACCTAATGCCGTAAAAGCGGCTTTGGAGATTTGGATCTTCCATACCTTTCGCATAGCATCGAGAAGTCAAATTAAAGAAAATCATGCGTGAAAAAGGTCCAGACAAGTGGAAATCATTTCACGCTCGGCTCCTGGATGGAATTATTAAGCGTAAAGCTATCCGTAGCTAGACCTAGGTTTAAATATCTGCGCAGATCTAAAGCTGAAAAGCGAAGGAACTCTGTGCCTTGGGAAAAAAAGACAGAGAGAGAGAGAGATTGAAAGAGAGAGCTAGGGAGAGACGAGTGAAAAGCAACTTCTCTAAGAACTGATCTCCGGAAATAATAAGTTGAAAAGCCAGCTTTATTGAAAGTAATATGAGCATTAAGAAATATATAGATCCTTAAGTTTTCCAACTCATCCCTAGAAATATGGGGACGAAGAATGAGAGAGAGAGATCGAGAGAGTGCTGAGAACTGTGAAAGTAACTTGTCAATGAAGAAATCTCCAGATCTTTTCAGATGAAAAGTTAGCTTAATTTAAACAAATTAAGCATATAACATGGTATAGATTATTCATTATAGTACTGAGTACTGTGAAAAATACTTCTCTAGGAACTAGTCTTCAAAGATATTGATAATAATTTGTAAAATCCCTTGCTAAACAATTTATTATAAGCATTAAACAAAATGTAGATCTTTAAGTTTTCTAACTAATCCGTAAAAAGAAAGGGAGACATCGAGAGAGTACTGAGTCCTGTGAGTAGTTCTTTAAGAATTCATCTTCAGAGCTCTGTGGACAAAGAAAGAGTGAGAGACAGAGTTCGAGAGAGTACTGTGAAAGTTAACAAGAACAAGTCTTCAAAGACCTTGAGATGAAAAGCGAGATATATTGATAATTATTGGTAAAAGCCTTTCGGGATATTTTTAAGATCCCGAAATCTTAAGATTAAATTATGCTGAAGCTTTATGCTCTTCAGATAGGGTAAAAAATCCAAAGTACTTCTATATATATGAAATAGACGAAGGAGAGACCAAAGAAAGAGAGAAATAGAAAAAAGGATATTTAAAAATGTATAAAATCATCCACAAAATGTCGTAAGTGCCATGAATTGAGGTTAACTAACTCCAGATAGCCTACAAATAATGTCACATCACTTTCTTACCCTGTTTTTGCTTTTTCTCACAGATCTTCAGAGTAGAACCATGATTCAAATAGTGTTGTGTAGCGTATACTTACTCATGATCCCGATTGTGCTTGTAGGAGTCGCGGTAGCGCGTGCGCAGATTGCGGCTGTTGTTCGCATGGTGGCTGCGGGAGAGGGCGGCGGGCAGCAGCAGGGCCATCTCTGAAAGAAGCAGAAAGAAACGTTTGTTGATAAATCCAAGAAGCCAGCTCAGAGGGAAAGCAGTTCGGAAAAGTCACGTGAAAATCAATTTGTAAACGCGATGCGCCAAATATTTTGCCAAGTCACGTGTTGGACGGGTAAATGCCGGCGCTGTAGCCGGAAGAGGTGGCTGTAATTTCGTCAACGAGATTGTGTGCGAGTGTGTGCGTGTGTGAGTGTGTGTGTGTGTGTGTGTGTGCTGGGGGAAAACGCGTGCCTGCGTGCCTGAGGTTGTGCCACACGTTTCGCTTGCTTTCGCTTTGGTTTGACTGGCTTCGCTTGATGTTTGCGTAGCTGAGAGCGAAATCAAAACATGCCATTAGACAACACCGGAACAACAAAAAAAAACAACAACAACAGAAAAAGAAAGAAAACACAGAGGGGGTGGCAACGCCAGCTGACAGGAAAAACAAGCGACGGCAAACAACCAGCGCCATAACCAGCTTGGCGCCCAACGTGGGTCCGCCCCCCATTCAACATGCTGACTTTTGACTATTGCACAGAAAAACTGGAATCGACATCGCCAAAAGCAAATCCTGCAACTGACACCCAACCCAAAGGGGCCGGAGGAGGGGGGGGGGGCACCTGCCGTTTCACTGAGCCATTCACGTGACTCGTGAAAAGTGTTGCCAACGCCTGCAAAGAAAGAACTTGAGCTTTGTAAGCCTGGGCCAGCTGTGGATGCCATTGCAGAGCGTGCCTCGGTCTGACTACGTGGGGCACAGACAGACGAAGACCAAGTGCTTAGTCCCTACTCTCCCTCGTTCAGTGCCCTGCACCCACTGGAGATGGCTAATAGAAAGGGGAGACTATGGAATAGAATAAGGGAGAATATTCAAACGGGGGCGTATTACGAGTCCAAAATGGTATATCGTTCCAAAATCTGACATTATTTGGCCGAGATATTCAAAAAAATAATCAAACAAGTTTTAAGATTCGAACCGACCCCGATTTTGAGAAAAATAATGCCAATTGATAATTGGGGTTAAACCACTTTTTTTTTTAAATGTGAATATCGCCTGATTTTGAAATGTTATACATTTTTGAATTCCTACGGATCCCTATTATCAAGTGGCATTCAAACATTTCAAAAAGCAAGTGGTTCAAAAAAGTGGTTGACCAAAAACCGATTCGTTTGTAAAGTCAACCTTTTTTGATCATTTTTTGGAGTATCTCGTCCAAATAATGTCCGATTTGGGAATTTTATACCATTTTGGACTCGTAAGGATCAACACTATCGATTGGCATCAAAAAAATAAAAATCTAAATTTTGAGCGAAATCAACAAAATGGCAAGGGGTTACATCACGTTTTTTCTCAAATTCGGGGTCGGTTCGAAAATCAAAACTTTTTTGATGATTTTTATTGAATATCTCGGGTAAATACTGTCAGATTTTGAAATGTTATACCTTTTTGAATTCGTACGGATCCCTACTATAAATTGGCATTCAAACATTTCAAAAAGCAAGTGGTTAAAAAATGTGGTTGACCAAAAACCGATTCGTTTGTAAAGTCAACCTTTTATGTTGATTTTTTGGAATATCTCGTCCAAATAATGTCCGATTTGGGAATTTTATACCATTTTGGACTCGTAAGGATCCCTACTATCAATTGGCATTCCAACATTTCAAAAATCAAGTGGTTAAAAAAAGTTTTTGAACAAAAACCGATTCGTTTGTAAAGTCAACCTTTTTTGATCATTTTTTGGAGTATCTCGTCCAAATAATGTCCGATTTGGGAATTTTATACCATTTTGGACTCGTAAGGATCAACACTATCGATTGGCATCAAACAAATAAAAATCCAAATTTTGACCGAAATCAACAAAATGGCAAGGGGTTACATCACGTTTTTTCTCAAATTCGGGGTCGGTTCGAAAATCAAAACTTTTTTGATGATTTTTATTGAATATCTCGGGTAAATACTGTCAGATTTTGAAATGTTATACCTTTTTGAATTCGTACGGATCCCTACTATCAATTGGCATTCAAACATTTCAAAAATCGAGTGGTTGAAAAAAGTTTTTGAACAAAAACCGATTCGTTTGTAAAGTCAACCTTTTATGTTGATTTTTTGGAATATCTCGTCCAAATAATGTCCGATTTGGGAATTTTATACCATTTTGGACTCGTAAGGATCAACACTATCGATTGGCATCAAAAAAATAAAAATCTAAATTTTGACCGAAATCAACAAAATGGCAAGGGGTTACATCACGTTTTTTCTCAAATTCGGGGTCGGTTCGAAAATCAAAACTTTTTTGATGATTTTTATTGAATATCTCGGGTAAATACTGTCAGATTTTGAAATGTTATACCTTTTTGAATTCGTACGGATCCCTACTATCAATTGGCATTCAAACATTTCAAAAATCAAGTGGTTAAAAAAAGTGGTTGACCAAGATCCGATTCGTTTGTAAAGTCAACCTTTTATGTTGATTTTTCGAGTATCTCGTCCAACTAATGTCCGATTTGGGAATTTTATACCATTTTGGACTCGTAAGGATCAACACTATCGATTGGCATCAAAAAAATAAAAATCTAAATTTTGACCGAAATCAACAAAATGGCAAGGGGTTACATCACGTTTTTTCTCAAATTCGGGGTCGGTTCGAAAATCAAAACTTTTTTGATGATTTTTATTGAATATCTCGGGTAAATACTGTCAGATTTTGAAATGTTATACCTTTCTAAATTCGTACAGATCCCTACTATCAATTGGCATTCAAACATTTCAAAAATAGAGTGGTTAAAAAAAGTTTTTGAACAAAAACCGATTCGTTTGTAAAGTCAACCTTTTTTGATCATTTTTTTGAGTATCTCGTCCAAATAATGTACGATTTGGGAATTTTATACCAGTTTGGACTCGTAAGGATCAACACTATCGATTGGCATCAAAAAAATAAAAATCTAAATTTTGACCGAAATCAACAAAATGGCAAGGGGTTACATCACGTTTTTTCTCAAATTCGGGGTCGGTTCGAAAATCAAAACTTTTTTGATGATTTTTATTGAATATCTCGGGTAAATACTGTCAGATTTTGAAATGTTATACCTTTTTGAATTCGTACGGATCCCTACTATCAATTGGCATTCAAACATTTCAAAAAGCAAGTGGTTAAAAAAAGTGGTTGACCAAAAACCGATTCGTTTGTAAAGTCAACCTTTTATGTTGATTTTTTGGAATATCTCGTCCAAATAATGTCCGATTTGGGAATTTTATACCATTTTGGACTCGTAAGGATCAACACTATCGATTGGCATCAAAAAAATAAAAATCCAAATTTTGACCGAAATCAACAAAATGGCAAGCGGTTACATCACGTTTTTTCTCAAATTCGGGGTCGGTTCGAAAATCAAAACTTTTTTGATGATTTTTATTGAATATCTCGGGTAAATACTGTCAGATTTTGAAATGTTATACCTTTTTGAATTCGTACGGATCCCTACTATCAATTGGCATTCAAATATTTCAAAAATCAAGTGGTTAAAAAAAGTGGTTGACCAAGATCCGATTCGTTTGTAAAGTCAACCTTTTTTGTTGACTTTTTGGAATATCTCGACCAAATAATGTCCGATTTGGGAATTTTATACCATTTTGGATTAAGGATCAACACTATCGATTGGCATCAAAAAAATAAAAATCTAAATTTTGACCGAAATCAACAAAATGGCAAGGGGTTACATCACGTTTTTTCTCAAATTCGGGGTCGGTTCGAAAATCAAAACTTTTTTGATGATTTTTATTGAATATCTCGGGTAAATACTGTCAGATTTTGAAATGTTATACCTTTTTGAATTCGTACGGATCCCTACTATCAATTGGCATTCAAACATTTCAAAAATCAAGTGGTTAAAAAAAGTGGTTGACCAAAAACCGATTCGTTTGTAAAGTCAACCTTTTATGTTGATTTTTTGGAATATCTCGTCCAAATAATGTCCGATTTGGGAATTTTATACCATTTTGGACTCGTAAGGATCAACACTATCGATTGGCATCAAAAAAATAAAAATCTAAATTTTGACCGAAATCAACAAAATGGCAAGGGGTTACATCACGTTTTTTCTCAAATTCGGGGTCGGTTCGAAAATCAAAACTTTTTTGATGATTTTTATTGAATATCTCGGGTAAATACTGTCAGATTTTGAAATGTTATACCTTTTTGAATTCGTACGGATCCCTACTATCAATTGGCATTCAAACATTTAAAAAATCGAGTGGTTAAAAAAAGTTTTTGAACAAAAACCGATTCGTTTGTAAAGTCAACCTTTTTTGATCATTTTTTGGAGTATCTCGTCCAAATAATGTCCGATTTGGGAATTTTATACCATTTTGGACTCGTAAGGATCAACACTATCGATTGGCATCAAAAAAATAAAAATCCAAATTTTGACCGAAATCAACAAAATGGCAAGCGGTTACATCACGTTTTTTCTCAAATTCGGGGTCGGTTCGAAAATCAAAACTTTTTTGATGATTTTTATTGAATATCTCGGGTAAATACTGTCAGATTTTGAAATGTTATACCTTTTTGAATTCGTACGGATCCCTACTATCAATTGGCATTCAAATATTTCAAAAATCAAGTGGTTAAAAAAAGTGGTTGACCAAGATCCGATTCGTTTGTAAAGTCAACCTTTTTTGTTGACTTTTTGGAATATCTCGACCAAATAATGTCCGATTTGGGAATTTTATACCATTTTGGATTAAGGATCAACACTATCGATTGGCATCAAAAAAATAAAAATCTAAATTTTGACCGAAATCAACAAAATGGCAAGGGGTTACATCACGTTTTTTCTCAAATTCGGGGTCGGTTCGAAAATCAAAACTTTTTTGATGATTTTTATTGAATATCTCGGGTAAATACTGTCAGATTTTGAAATGTTATACCTTTTTGAATTCGTACGGATCCCTACTATCAATTGGCATTCAAACATTTCAAAAATCAAGTGGTTAA